GGAGAAGGGGAATGAATAACAGAAAACTGGTATTTCTTTGTCTGATGGCTGTATTCAAAATCAAAATAAACTAATTCAGTAGCAATTGGAGTTGGATAAGGTGCGAAGGCTATTTGGGTTGGGGAAAAGATTGTGGATTCAATGCCAGAATAATGAGGAAAAGGTGATCTCAAGATTGGTGGCTTTGAAAGAAAGAGATGAAATCAATTTTAGGAGGTCATGAAGCTCGGGTGTGGATCTTTGTGGAAAACAGTGAGGTGAGTTTTATCATTATGAAGTTTATTTCTTTTAATGTTAGGGGTTTGGGTAACTGGTTGAAGAGGAGGGAGATTTTTAAGTTAGTTAAGAAAGAGAATCTAGATTTTTTTGTTTCTTCAAGAAACTAAATTGTAAGAGGTTGAGGGTTCTTTGTGTCGGGCATTGTGGAATTCAGATAATTTTGATTGGGTTATGGAGAAATCAATGGGCAACTCAAGTGGAATGTTGTGCATATGGAATGAAAGTTGTTTTATTAAACAGTGTGTGATAGAGGGGAACGGCTTCATTGGGGTTTCTGGTGAATGGGGTGAGGAGAGGGAAAAATGTAAGTTAGTCAATGTGTACGCTCCTTGTGATAAGTAAAGGAAGGTTTTGTTGTGGGAGGAGATTGCTGGACGAATATTGGAAGAAGGTGGGTGGTGTTGGCTGTTGGCAAGTGATTTTAACGATGTCCAAAATGTAATAGAACGAAAGGGTAGATTGAGGGAGACACAAGATATGGAAGATTTAATTAATTTGTGGAGAGCAAGAGGTTGATGGATGTTCGCTTGCTAAATAGAAAGTTTACATGGTATAGACCTGATGGATCTTTAATTAATAGACTTGACAGGTTTTTGATGTCTATAGAGATGGGTTTATTGGTCATTGATTGGATTCAAGAAGTTGTTAAAAGGTCAAATTTTGATCATTGTGTGATAATTTTGAAGTCAAGGAATACATATTGGGGTCCAAGCCTTTTCAAGTAATTGATGTGTGGCAGCAACACCTAGATTTCAGAAGTTTTGTGGAAGATAGGTGCATGGAATGCTTTGCAAGTTGAAGGATAGACGGCTTATAAAAGCAAGCAAAAGCTACAATTATTGAAGGAGGAATGCAAAAGGTGGAATAGGGAAGATTTTGGTAATGTGGAGAGTTAGTGGGGTACCTTATCAAAGGCTCAAAGGCAATTGAAGCATTGGACATAAAAAGCGAAGAGGTTGAATTAGACGAGAATAAGGTATTACTCAGAAGGGAGTGTTTTAAGGAGATGTGGGATATTCTGGGGAAGAGGAAGGCTGTGTGGAAGCAAAAGTCAAGAAATTCACCTTGGGGATGCAAATACGGCTTTTCTCCATAAGTGTGTTCATGCACGGAGAGCACAAAATGCTATTTTAGGCATTTTATGCGAGGATGGGTGGGTTGAGGAGCCAATTAAGGTGAAAGAGGAGGCAATGAAGTATTTTAGTCAGCTGTTTCATAATGAACAGTGGAATCGTCCAATGTTGGGTGGAATTCATTTCAACAGAATCTCAGTTGCACATAAGGAGTGGTTGGAATGACCTTTTTCAATAGAGGAGATTGAAGAGAGACTACAGAGCTGTGATGGGGCGAAGGCACCAAGACTAGACGAGTACAGTTTTAATTTTATAAAATTTCCCTGTAGTACTTTAAAAGAGGATTTTGTGAATTTTTTGTCAGAATTTCACCAACATGGGAGGTTAGTAAAAGGTTTAAATTCCTCTTTTTTGGCTTTAATACCTAAAAAGGTAAATCCAGGGCATTTTAAGGAGTATAGGCCCATTAGCTTGATTGGTTGTTTATACAAACTATTGGCTAAAGTATTGACGAATCAGTTGAAAATGGCAATAGCAGATATTATTAGTGAATCCCAGTCAACTTTTGTTGGTGGTCAGCAATTAGTAGATAGTGTGCTGATCTTGAATGAGGTTGTAAATGACGTGAAACAGAGAAAACATGAGAGTTTTATTTTTAAGGCTGATTTTGAGAAAACGTATGATTGTGTGGATTGGAATTTTCTTGATTGGATGATGGAAAAAATGGGGTTTGGAATTAAGTGGAGAAAGCGGATTCATGAATGTCTCTTGACAGCTTGAATGTCTATTTTAATAAATGGAAGTCCGACAAAGGAGTTCTTGGTAGGCAAGGGTCTTCATCAAGGTGATCCATTGTTCCTGTTTTGGTTTTTGTTAGTGGGTGAAGGGTTGTGTGGTATGGTGAGAAAGGCAGAGGAAGAAGGGCTTTTGAGAAGAGTGAAGATTAGAAGGGGTGGTATGGTCTTGTCTTTATTATAGTTTGTGGATGATACTGTCTTCATAGGAAAAGCAGAGGCAAAAAATTTAAGGGTAGTGAAGGCTATTTTGCACTAGTTTGAATTAATTTCGAGGTTAAAAATTAATTTCTGCAAGAGCCATTTATATGGGCTTAATGTGACAGAAAGGTGGTTAAAAGATGCAATTGATATTTTGCACTGTAAGATAGGAAAGATGCCTTTTATTTACCTTGGTTTACCAGTTGGAGGGAATTCGGGAAGGAAAAAGTTTTGGGTTTCAATGCTGGATCATTTTTGGGGTAAGCTTGTCGCCTGGAAAAGTTCATTGTTGTCTTTTGGAGGTCGAATTACCTTGCTCAACTCGGTACTTTCTACTCTTCTTATATTTTACTTGCCGTTATTTAAAATTCCAAAACGTGTTCTTCTCGAGATGGTTAAGATTCAAAGGGATTTCTTTTGGGGTGGAGCAAATTTGGAGAGGAAAATTGCATGGGTTAGTTGGGATCATATTTGTGTGGATAAGGAGAGAGGGGGTTTAGGAGTGGATGATTTAGATAGGAGAAATTGGGCTTTATTGGGTAAGTGGTGGTTTAGGTTAAGTGATGGTTTAGGGGGATTATGGAAGAGAGTGATTTGGGAGAAGTATTATAGGGGTCGAAAGGAGGCTGATATTACTTCTTTAAGTTCTTTGCATATGTCTCGAGTGTGAAAGGACATTGTGGGTGTTGGTAGTAGGTCGGAGAGTTTGGGTTTAATGTTAGGAAAGGGCTTTAAATGGGAGATTGGTGATGAAAGTCGTGTTGCTTTTTGGGATGATAAGTGGGCTGGTGATAAACCTTTAAAAGATTTATTTTTGAGATTGTATGCATTATCGTTGACCAAGGAGCAGATGTTGAAGGATATGGGTTTATGGAGAGAGGGCAACTGGGTATGGGATTGTAAATGGCAACTAGGCTGTGCCAGAAGAGTTGGTGAGGAGGAAGAAAGGCTTAGGGAGATTATTAATGGGATTAAGGTAAGGAAGAATAAAGATGATTCATGGAGATGGGTTCATAGTATTGATGGTGTTTATTCTATCAAGGTTGCATATGATTTTTTAACACCTAAGGATTATCTTTTGGACAAGAAATGGATAAGAATTATTTGGTGTAAGTTTGTTCTGTCTAAAGTGAGTGTTTTTGGGTGGAGATTATTTTTGAATAAGTTGGCAACTAAGGATGACTTATTTAAGAGAAGGATTGCTCTGCTGGGGGGATGTTAGTTGTGAATTATGTGGTGAGGGAGTGGAACAGGTAAATCATATGTTTTGCAAGTGTAAAGGGGCTTGGTTAGTGTGGATGAAGGTGTTGAGATGGTGGGGATTACAGGGTGTTTTGCCAGAAGATATTTTTGGTTTGGCAGAGTTCGTGGTGCAAAGTATAAGTGGGGCTTGTTTGGTGGACTTAGGGGATTTCATTTTTCTGATTGTTGCTTGGTTTATTTGGTTTTGGAGGAATATGCAGGTGTTTGGAACAAAGTTGATGTCTGAGGTGTTATTATTGGAGTATATATAGCATAAATCATTTTTATGGCTTAAAAATAAAGAGAAAGGGTGTGTTTTTTCCTATCAAGATTGGGTCTCAAGTCCGATGGAGTGCAGGGACGCCATTATTCAACATTATAATAATCCGAAAATGTATCACCTTGCTGCAACGAGATATGGGATGATTTCACTTTAGTTACTGTTGCTGATTTATGTGCTAAATCATCAATTCCTATTTGCTTAGTTATGTGATTTCATTTGAACATTTTGTTTGATAGTTGTAGTTTCATTTTGGGGTATTTCTTATACTCCTGATTAATAGATATATTATTTGTTTTGCTGACCAAAAAAAAAAAAAGAAAATGGCAGATGAAAGGGATTTTTTTATTTTTTTATTTTTTATTTTTTTGATTTCGGATGAGGTGGTTATTGTCACCATCATATATGGGAAAGCCACCAATATTTTAGGTTTTTTCTTTAAACAATATTTGAAAATATTAATTTATTAATAAATAAATATAAAATATTTTATTAATTATTAATTAATAATTATAGTTTTTAACTATTTTTATTAATCAAGTTGAAAAATTAGTATTTTAAAAATATTATTTTATAATTTTAGTGGTTTTAACATTTAGTAGTCTTAATATTTTTGTTGATGACCATAATTATTCTCGTAATAGTAATCATGGTTTTTCTTCTTTAAAAAAAATTCTACAAGTACTTTTAAACTACTTTTTTTTTTTTTTTACAATTAAAAGTTAATCAGTATAATGGACATAATATGATTTATATGACAATACTTGTTAATGGATTTAAGATTCAATCTTTGTTATTTTTTATTATTAATTTTTGACAACTAAGTTCCATCAAATGTAAAAGAAAAAATTGAACTTACTTATAAGGTAGGTGAAAATAATATTATTTGTCATTCATTTAGTCAAAATTTAAAGGTTTTTAATCTCATTTTTCTTCTCTATCTTTCAAATTTTGTAATTTATTAAAAAAACGAAAAAGGAAAAATTGGACAACTAAGAAAAAGAAAAAAGGAAAGAAACAATCATGTATGATACAAAACAAAACCAAACCAAACTCTTTCAGGTGCCAACTGGAGCTGATTTCGGAAGGGATTTTTAGCGAATAAAAAATAAAAAGATGGTAATTGGTAAAGGAAATTGCGTCCTTGCTGATGCCACCTTTCATGGTACCGGTAACGCGTGGAGGCCTCCTTCACCAAATACCAAACTGACTCTACAGGGTTTTTATTTATTTAATTTATTCTGGCTGTCGTGTTGGTTTCTTCCACCATGTATTCCATAAATCAAACCCTCTGCTCCTTCCCTACCTCACGACCTCCATTAAAGATTAAAGAATAATAGCTGCCTTATTTGGAACCCAAGAAGGTAT